CAATTTGAAATTGCAGTATAAATTTTAAGGCTTCATTTCTCCGAGGGTATTAAAGTTTTTATTACTAAATATTTACTGAAGTTTATTTATTGATCAGTTATTGTGTTGCAATAATAAAACTTTACTACCTTATACAGAGTGTCTAAAATTAATTTTAAATAATTACTAGCTTTAAACGGCAATAATTTGTTTAATTTAAATGGAACACCCTGTATATTTTATGAGAATCAGATGCACAATTTAATTGTCTATCAAATTGTATTATACCATTTTACCTATCTCTTCAAGTTTCCGTAGAAAATGCATTTTCTTGTAATTTAGAACTCATTTATCAATATACCCATGGAATACTGACATTTTAGATTATTTTTAAAGATGTACCAAATTTTTAAAGAGTACAGATACTAATATTGTCGATATAGTTCGTTTATTTCATTAAAAAAACTGTTTAAATATTTGTTAAAAAGGACCAATTAATATGATTCCAGTATTCAAACTACATTAATTGACTGTTTGCGTTGATTAATAATAATTGCTCCAAATACTAAAAAGCTGAATTATGTATGTGTATTAGACAGTGTGGTAAAAAGTAACACCTTAAAAATGATATTTAATTTTTCGACAAATGCCTATTTATAACAACAGAGACGTTCATTTTCATGACTTATTATTATATTGATTTCTGATTCAAATCCACATTTATTTAGAATAATTTATTAACGAACACAATTAAGTATGTAGTTAATTAGTATTTGGGCGGAAATACTGGGGGTATATTTAATTAATGGTATACTCTTTTATAAAGATTTAATTAGTTTTCTTTTTGCATACAAAAATTATCGTTTTACTAAAAACGATAATATTACTAGCCTCTACGTTTTGTACATTTGTTGTTTTAAAAACAATCTAAAATGTCAATATTCCATGGGTGAATTGATAAATGAGGTCTAAATTATAAGAAAATGCATTTTCTACGAAAACTTGAAAGAATAGGTAAGAAGTGGTATAATACAATTTGATAGACAATTAAATTGTGCATCTGATTTTCATAAAATATACAGGGTGTTCTATTTAATGTAAATAAGTTATTGCCGTTTAGAGCTAGTAATTATTTAAAATAAAATTTTAGACACTCTGTATAAGGTAGTATAATTTTTATTATTGCAACACAATAACTGATCGATAAATAAACTTCAGTAAATATTTAGTATTAAAAACTTTGATATCCTCGGAGAAATGAAGCCTTAAAATTTATACTGCAATTTCGCAAAATTGAAAATATTTCAAAAACGGTAAGGTTTAAGTGTAATAAACCTTAATCAAATTTACCTTTATTTTAATCGTAGAAACTAAAAATGCAATAATATACAGGGTGTTCCATTTAAAAAAATACAACTTTGATATTTTTTATTTATTTGACACATTGATTTTATTTTACAAGACACTCTGTATCTTGTAAAAATATTTTTAAATTGTAGCTCTAATAGTCCTTCAACAAACCCAAAACTTACAATTTGTAAAAATCTAATCGTTTAGGTACAATACTCCGTGTCGTATGTGGTGAACAACCCTGTATAACAGTTGAATAGTTTACAAATTTTGAAATAAAGAACATAACATACGATCATTGTGATTTAAATAAATAAAAAAATATAGAGTTAATATTATCCGTCATCAGACTGTACCAAGTCAAGTTGCCTCAGTAAATAATTACAAAGCAAACAATTTAACTTGTCACTCGGTGTCCCCTTTGCGTTTGTTTTATCATCACACATAGCATTTATTTAGCGTCAATTTTCGTACGAACCACGATGACCTACTCACCTAGAAAATAACAATAATCCAACTCACGGAAATTGTGTTAGAAGCAAAGTTAAAAACTATCGATCGCCCATATTAATAATTGATTTCCACGAAAAATACGTGTTATGGTTTCCCTATTTGTCTATTTTAACAAGACCTAGTTTTTAATTTATTCTTTTTTGTAACAAAAGGGGGTATTCGATTCCTTTTTAATTTATCTATGTAAACTATCATTTTTTTTAAATTAGTCTGTAATTCTAATGCCAAGAAAATGGGTGGAATTAATACCGTATGATTGAAAAAAATGTGGCAATGGGCAGGACACCTGGCAAGAAGAACGGAAAATACAGGGTGAGTTTCCTATAATGTTCTCTATGGGTATCTCGGAAACTACTGGAGATAAAGAGAAAAGAATTGCAGTTTTGTGGGGTCATAAATATGCGCCTTTCATATTTTTGAAAAAGTTCATGGCTTACTAGATATTTCGAAAAAAAACAAATTTTGGCTATTTTAAAAATTGTCCCTAATTCCATTATAATTTATTTTATACAAAAAATTTTCAGATAAAAGTTGTCTGTTGTTTTCAGATAAAAGATAATCACATCCCTAATGAGTCTGTGTTCTCCGATTTTTCCTACAGCCTGTCATTTTTGACAAATGACACAAACATATGTTCTTTTAAATAGAAACCATAGTTGGCCATGAGTTCATAAAAATCGCCATTTTTTAAGCGATAATATGTTTTTTTCATAAAATTACTGAGTTATAGCCAATTGCACTTAGCCATGGAAGCAAGTTCAATCGTCGCTGCTCTCAGAAATGTGAAACTATCACATCCAAACTTAGTAAATTAAAATAAACAAAAATTATAAATATGAATTTTTCAAATGAAGAAAAGCGTATAGGATTTTAGGATTTAGGATTGGTTCAACTTTTCCTGGCCGTTACGTACGTTACTTACGTTTTTTAGAGAACGGTTTTCAAGACCTGTTAGAAAAGATAAATTTAGATACTCGCGCATTAATAGAGTGGTTCCAACATGACTTTCATTATGACACCCCCCACCTCTCTCCACATTGAAAGAAATGTTAAAAATTATTTACATCATAATTATGTATACGATCACCTGACCTATACATTTTTTTAGATTTAGATTTTTTTATGCGGTTTGGTTAACAACAAGGCTTACAAAAGAATTTATGAATCAAGAGAGGCACTGGAAGAGGCGGTACAGGAGAAGTTTAATTAAGTCGACCGGTCTTTCTGTGAGAATAGCTAGAAATTCAGTTTTAAAAATATGCATTTATATATTTAAAACAATGGCGGATTTTGTGAACATTTTCTAAAATAACTTAAAGTGTATGTAGTGATATTATTTTTTAAGTTTTAGTTTATAATGTAAATTGTAAAGAGCCGTTTAATAAGATATTTTGTCTTTTTATAAGTTATAAATCATAACAAAATAAGAACACCATACCAACTAAGCATTAGCGTAACTAGCAATTTAGCCTTTTAAAAATGAAAAATAATTTTAAAAACAAATTTTTTGAATAAAACGTTTACATGAATTTCTCTATCAATAAATTTCATAGACTTGGTTATCAAACCGTGTTCCCGTAGGTTACGTAAATACCTACAATTTAAAAAAAAAATTAACACATTTTTTGAACACAACAAAATAATATTAACTAAACAAAACTAAAAAACGTCATTTATACTGCATCACAAGCAAATAAAAATTAATACGTAGCCAAGAGTCATAATTCAGGATATCTCCGGGGGGTGCCCGGCAGTACCTGGGGGGAGCCCGGCACCCCCGGCCACCCCTGTAGTTACGCCAATGCAACTAAGTGATATTAGTCAAGAAAGATAAGAATTGACTATAACTCAGTAATTTTTTGAAAAAAAAACATAAAGCTTATATCGCTGAAAAGCTTAAAAAATGGCGCTTTTTATGAAGTCATGGCCAACTATGGTTTCCATTTAAAACACATATGTTTGTGTCATATCTCAAAAATGACAGGTTTTAGAAAAAATCGGAGAACACAAGATCATTAGGGATGTGTTTATCTACAACTTTTATCTGAAAACTTTTTGTCTAAAATAAATTATAATGGGACAATTTTTTGAAAATAGCAAAAATTTGTTTTTTCGAAATATCTAGTAAGCCATGAACTTTTTCAAAAAACTGAAAAGCGCATATTTATAACCCTACAAAACTGCAATTCTTTCCCCATTTAACCGACGCTCTATCTCCATTAGTTTCCGAGATACCCATAGAGAACATCGTAGGAAACTCACCCTGTAGATAAACCACAAAAATTACAGCATAGTACCTACGAAGAATTAAGAGACCCAAAAGACCTAATCATGGTCCTATCCTAGACCTAATCTAGGATAGGACCATGATATTAGGAAATTAGCAGGAATAACTTGGACCCGCATAGCCAACAATAGACAACAATGGAACCAATTACAGGGAAATTATCTAAATATGTAAGGGAGACTACCCCATAATTAGAAATGGTTGAAAAAGCTGGAAATTATGATGCCTCCCAACAAGTTTTTATGATATATCAGTAAAAATGTCACAAAATATTTTTGGTTATGTTTTTATAGTAGGTATATTTCGGTCATTTGTTTATTTCACAAAGGTTGTTGAGATTTTATTACAAATACTTGAAAAATACATTTTTTAATTGGTATATTATATTTTAATTGTTTCATTAGACGTATTTTGTTTAATTTGATGACTAAAGTTTAAATTATTATTGTACTTGAAGTGTTCTAATCAAATTTACCTTTAGCAATTGTTAAAACAAAGAAAGCAAGGTTTCGTCATGTTTACAACTTGCTTTTTAATCGTAATTATAACGTACCGTAATCTACATTCAAATAAAACTAAAATTCCCACTTGTGTGTAGGTTATTAGGTTTTTCTAGATATAAAAGAATTTTTTTGTAATTCTCAAAATTTGATAAGGATAATTATCTTTTTTTATTTTCACTCTCTTTCAAGAAGTATTTGTTTGTCATATACTGTTATTTCGAAAAAAAAAGAAATGTTATGCCTATCAAAGTGTATTAATTTTTGATATAATACCATAATATCGAAAAAAAAAACGGCGTCAAATATGGCTGGAGAATGACGATCGGTGATATATACTGTATTAATTTTCGATAAAACAGATGACTTACCTCAATATTTTCAACGGGAATTATTTTGATTAAAGCTATAAAGGAATTTTTATCCACCAACAGCCATATTCCAACTCCCAAAACCACTGAACCAGTCACCTGAAAAAAAAAATATATGTAAGTATGACGATTAAATTTTACGCCAAACCTTCTAAAATATGAAATAATTTTTCTTCTTTTTTTTAAACGAAACACCCTGTATATTATTTTTTCAATAGATGGAGAATTAAAAAATGAACATTTTTTGTATTTAGAGTACATATTTCAAAATTTTTAACGGTTTTGCAGATATTCCCCGTTTTTACATTTTCATACAGTTTGGCATTTTCCACAGTAACTTTTTATCAAAGCCACCCAATGATTCTTCTCTCGTATTTGACCGTTGAAAGAGCCATATGAAATAATACTGCGTGTATCTGCAAAACCATTTAAAATTTCGAAATACTTTAAATACAAAAAATGTTCATTTTTTAACTCTCCATCTAATAAAAAATCCATCATTTTCTCAAGGATCTCATAGAAAATCTCCATCATTTAAAAAAAAACAAGAAAAATTATTTTATATTTTAGAAAGTTTGGCGTAGAATTTTGAACACCCAGTATGATTTAAAATTACGATATTTACAGCAAAGTAAGTATAGGACCATCTAAAGTTAATACCTATACAGTTTTGATTTCAGGACAGTTCTTGTATTTGTAATAACTTTTTTAGGAAGGTTGAAAAATATATTTTTTTTATTTATTTATTAACATCTCTGAAACTATCGAAATATATCTACTCATATCTTAGGATTATGTAAAGTGATCTGAAAGGAAGCCAAAAATGCAATAATATACAGGGTGTTCCATTTAAAAAAAACATTCCGATCCACTTGCACTTTTTTGAGCCACTCTATAGAAGTTTATACATAGGTACTTTAAGTTAGCACTTGAACAAAATTTTCAAGTTTTTTATTTTAGGAGCTACAGATGCCCGACGCACTATTGCCGAACCCTGTATAAGGAAATGTTTTACTATAATTTAATATCGATTTTATCAAACAATAGATATGATAGGTATATAGGAAAAAGTTGATATAATAGACGGTAAATGATAGGTCGAACGATGTCCCCTCTTCAGGATAAAAGGACAATGCACTTTATTTCTGAAATATTTATACGAAACGTCGTATTGTACTGTATTTCTTGATTACAAAATAATGACCATCACGCGACATCAACTTTAGGCGACTTTATCTTGCATTTTATACACTTACAATTCCATTTTGCTCTTTAAATTGTACGATTTCCTGTAGAGTAAAGCCCCGGCCACACCTAATGGTTTACCTTACGTTTTGTCGGGCAGTTAAAACGGAAGGCCATTGACAGAACTGATGGCTGTTCTTAAGTATTGCGGCTCAGTCCCGTCTAAACATTAGAGATAAGTAGGTCCGGATGGATATGAATCCACGGACCTCTCTCCGGTGTCGGTACTGATCGATGTACACACAACCAAACTTATATGTAATCATCTATTATTTTTCATAATTTATGAGACGTATGAACATTTTATGTTTTATGAATAAAACTCAGTCCTTACCAATGACTTTTAATGAAAAATAATCCATATAGCCATAAAAAAAATCAGTTCCCAAAATAAACACAATGGTATTTTTTTAGTTTCTGAAACGAAATAAGATTTAAATTTTAAAAAAAAATCTATCCGCGCTGGCATGCATCTTATTAAATTATCAACGTTGTTTTGGGGTATGTTTTCCCATTCTGCTAATGCTGCATCAATAAAATGTGCGAGATTTCCTGGATTGTTTCGACAAGTTCTAACCCTTCATTTGAGCTAGTCCCACAAGTGTTCGATAGGGTTTAGATCTGTGGAAACATGCAGGCCAGTCCAAAACTATGACACCTTCCATTTCAAGACATTCTCTAGTCACTCTGCTAGTATGGGGAGGTGCACTGTCGCGCATGAAGTTAAAATTATCCACAATTGCAGCTCTCCAAAGATTAATGATTGGTTCTAGCACTAAATCAACATACCTCCGACCTGTTAAAGTTTGTTAAAGTGGTAACAATGGAGTTTTTGCTCCCAGCTTAATACCTCCTCAGAACATTACAGTTCCTCCTTTATATCTTGGTACAGATTTGGCAACCTAGACTCTCGCTCGTCTTCCTGGAGTTCTGAGGACCCGAATTCGATGGTCATCTGATCTTAGCCCAATTCTGGTCTCATCCGAAAAAAGAACATTTTGCCAATTCTCAATTGCCCAGTTTTGATGTTGAAGGCAACAATTTATCCGGTCAATTTTATTTTGCTGAGATAACTACGAAACCCGTAACTCTCTCCTACTGTACAGCCCTCGAGCGCGAAGCCTTCCTCTGGTTTCAACCGAAAACATTTACACCTGTAGCTGCCAGAAGTTGTCTTTGTAGCTCTGGATGAGAAACATTGGCATTACTTCTAGCAATTTGGCACGCAAGGCGGTCTTGTTGTGCAGCTGTGACTCTTTGACAATTTCGTCTGGGCCTGTTCTTGTGTGTTCCTAGTTCCAAGTACCTTGCATATGTTTTCGATACAACACCCTGGGTGGCCTACTATCTCTGCTACGTCTCTTTGTTCAATGAAAGCAATAATTATTCTCCTCTGTGCATGTGTTAATCCAACATAAAGCATTTTTCTATTATTTGGGTTAAATGAGAATTACCAGACAGTCATAATGTTTCCACTGAACACAAAATTCACAAGAAAATAGATCGCAGCAGTCGTTTATTCTTTATTGTCATTTTTATTTACAACAAAAAGCCTTATCTTAAAGTTGTATACCAATTTTTTTCCTTGCATGACATTTAGTCAGTTTTCCAATTTTGAATCAGCCGATTTTAAGTAATTTAAGAAAAACTGCGTCTATTTTTAAATTAAAACTGAACAGGTAACAATACAAAACCAATTAAATGTCAACATACCTTAAATTGATTTCATCAACCTATGCTTTTATCATTGTCAAATGTAATATGTTGTGCTGTCTACATTAGTGCTTTATAGTACCTACCAGGGCCATGTAAGTGAAATATTAAAAATGGTTCCAACAAAAGTTTCCCAATTATGACGGATGATGGCGCTGATCGTCAAAATTTTTGGACAGGGATTTTGCTTACCGACAATACGACGTGAGCTACGACCGGACCAGGACCAATCAGAATGATCAGTCTTTCTTGGACATTTGCCGCGGAAGTGTGTGTTAATTTCTGTTGTGAGAAATGTGGTTGTGTTTGCTGTTTGATTTTTCGGTTTTGATATTATGTTAAAATTAATTTTGAAGTATTGTATCACCTGTTTTTATGTAATAGTACTTTTTTTAGTTCTATGATCTGATATGTTATGATTTGTTAATGTTTGTTTAACAATGTTATACCAAAGAGGTTATACTTAATATACTTATCAATTTGCATAGCCTAACTTTTTTATCAATAAACTTTGTAGATTTTCAGATTATTTAATTCCTTTTGTTTCCGTTTGTAATTTTATTTTTAAGACATATTATGTGATTGTTTCACATAATATGTTTTAAAAATAAAATTGCAAATAGCGAATAAAAATAATTAAAATAAAAAAGTGTATTTTATAATTCCCCCCGGCCCCGCACCCCTTTGGCTAACCTATAATGTCAGCTATGTCGAGAGATGGCGTTACGAAAATGGAACCGATTTATTACAAGAAACTTGGGCTTCTTTTTCGTTAGTATATTCTGTGGTACCTACGCTTAGTGTCCCCGAAATGTATTTTTGCAATTTAAAACTTGTTCGAATGAGACAAAAGCCTAACATTTAGAAAATACAATTTAACATTGATAAAATTTTAGGATAACAACATTAAGGTACGTTGGCATTTGTCTGGTTTTACATTGCTACCTGTTCAGTTTTAATTTAGAAATAGATACAGATTTTCTTAAATAACTTAAAATCAGCTTGTCCAAAATTATTCAAATTTGGCATGTGTATTCAGCATATGCAGACCTTTAAAAAATATATTTGCGACTTAGCTGCAAACTTATAGGGGAGCCAATATTTGGACAATTCAAAATTTGCATTGGATTTCCTGATTTCCTATGTTACCAACGATGCGCGACGATGCACCACCCGGTATGTTGTTTATAAGCTTGTTAAGCACGTTATCTTTTAATAAATATTTAACCTTCCTAATTTAACGAAGCACGTTGTTTATGACGGTGAAAATCCTCCAATTAACGGTATTTTTTTGAGAAAAACACACTAAAGTGCTTGTATATACTTACAAAAATTATGAAGTTGAATGCACACAGCACGTATTTTACCATACAGGAACCACAATCGTACACCATGATGCTTTGGTTGGACTATTTCTGAAAAAAATAATGAGTATTAGTTTCCATACAAATGTTTGGTTCGGAAATTCTAGAAAAGAGAGTTCTGATATTTTTTTTAACGATCTAGCTAGAAAAGGAGCCGACGCTCTACTAACTGGACCAGAACCGTTCTGCTTCCCAAGTGGAAACCAGTTAAAGCGGAACTCAAGAACCTGTAAGACTCCATCCGTAACCTGGAATGGTAATCCTCCAAAGGTCTAAGACACTTGAAGGAATTTCTCAGAACTTACGACAGAGAAAAATTAAAGATTTTTCTTGATTGAAGTAAGAACAATGTTCGGATTGACGCGGGGTTTTTAACAGGACACTGTCTCCTTAACAAACACCCCAATAGATTGAAGCTAAGAAACAACGGCGAATGCAGATTCTATGGGGAAAATGGGGAAACCCCAGAACAACCATTCGTACCATAAAGTTTCTTACGGCTGATATCGGAGATGGAGAACTAACCTCTGTAAAATCATCTTAGATACTGGCTTTCGTCGAAGCCCTGAGACTGTATGATGAGTTATAATTCGTTACAACTCTAGAAAAGGGAACACAAAATAGATCTGTAAGGTTGCGGTGATGCAGTGGCGTGTCGTATAGGGGGCCAGGGGGGGGGGGCGAACGCCCCCTCCGCCCCTATGTGCTTAGCGCCTCTGGCGCCCTTTGAAAAAAAAATAGAAAAACTAAATTTAACGCAAAAACAAAGGGTGCCCTACCGTGCCCTTAGCTCTTCAAGATAAAAAAATGTCGTATATTATATTTCTCACATTTTATTTTTGTTTTTTAATGTTTACTTATATCCTTGTATTAAACAAGGCTTATATTTAATAATTTAAATCTCTAATGAAGTAGGCGTATATACTACGTACGAAAGTTTTCATATGGGTTTGAAACTTGAAACTACGCTACCGCTAGACCATTGTCTATAAATAAAAATACAATGGCTAGACCATAGACTTAAAATAAAATATAGACTGAGCATCTCATTCATAAATAGCTGGAACATGCGGTCAGACACTGTCTTGTTATGGTTGTGTTATTGTTTTAGGTTATAACGAGTGCGACACGAGCGATAGATAGGTTGTCTCTGTCGTAACGGTCGTTCCCTGACGACTCTGCCGAGAAACACTACACTGTCTTTCGTTTCTCAAGTACACCTGAACTCTCCGTATCATAGCCGGGTAATTTTTTTTATTTTAATGAAGCTATAAGTAAATTAAAAATATATCGTATTTAAACGTTTTTATATTTTATTAAGATTTAGGACAGGTTTTTTACATAAAAGTTTAGAAAAAACGTCTTAGAGTCCGAAAAGGATAAACATAATAAAATACACGTTATAGAAGAAATTTTATAATCGAAATTACGTAATTTTTGAAATTAATAATAAATTATTAATTTTAGTCAAACATTTACAACCCCTAATATTAATCAAAACCGGATCTATTCCACAGATATAATAGAATCGGCGACAGGGAGAGAAAAAAAAATGATTGTTGTAATTTTTTTTCTAGTTAAGTGATGTCTTATTATGTAAATTAGAGAAAACATAAATCTGTTCCATTAAAGCAAGGAAGGTGATAGGAAGTGGATAAAATAAAAACTACATTTATTTAACTCGGTACTGTCTTTATTATACCGGGTGCGGCTCAAAAGTGGCTCATCCCCATAATTTTTTTATATTTTCAAATAAAAAAACAAGATTTAGTATGTTAGTATATGAAATAAATTAGGATTGATTGACGCATTCAATTGTTTTTGGTCACTTCCTGTGTCACCGGAAATGACTATAACTTTTAATTTTTAAACGGCACCCTCGGTATATTTCTACTTTATTCGATAGAAAATGACACTCTGAATAGAATGAAATATCATATGTCAACTTTTGACATTTTCGCATATGGTTTAATTGTAATTGTAACACGCGGTTCATAACGACAATTTGACTCGAAATACCAAGTGTGTGGTATCAATATATTCATAAAAAAATGCTTTTTCCAAATATGCTAATGAGTCACCCTTGTTCCATTTGAAAAATTGACATATGTATGATTAAAAATACGATTTGTACATCTTTTAACCGGCCTAGACAAGACACGAAACCTATTAGACGATCAAAACTATTTTTCCAAGGCTCCTTGATTAAAACTTAGTGGATTGAAAAAAACTGGAATGAAATTTAAAATAGGATATGTTTTTAAGCGACAATGTCAAAAAGTTGACATATGATATGTCATTCTATTCAGAGTGTCATTTTTATCGAATAAAGTAGCAATATACCGAGGGTGCCTTTAAAAATCAAAAGATGTAATCATTTCGGTGAAACAGGAAGAGACCAAAAACAATTGAATACGTCAATAAATCCTAATTTTATGTCATATACCTACTAACATACAAATCTGTTTTTTTTATCTGAAAAATAAAAAAAGTTATAGGGTTGAGCCACTTTTTGAGACGACACGGTATATTAAAAATATTGTTTCATAATGTAATATCATTTTAAAATTCTTTTGTATGTTATTTTAGATTCTGAAGATAATTTTAGAATAAACCGGAATATATTTTTAATAAAAACATTATTAATTATTAACAGGGTTATAATTATGATTTTGTTACAATGTAAGTAAGTAAATAATGTAATGTAAGAGAAAAAATTCAGATTTTACATTTTACTAAAATATTATCTAAATAAGCGCCTTTCTACAACAACGCCACTGACTCCCAATGGGTAAATTGAGAGTTGCCTACCGGTCAAAAGTCGTTTCAAGACTTAAATGGATTATTTAAGTCAAATTTCTTGCAAATTTGGCACTGGCGAACCATATTTTATAGTTCTTGAACAGAAAAAGTCAATAAAATAAACACTTAAGCACTACAAGCTAAGAAAATGCGTTAATACAGCCGGGGAGATAGCGGCAACAAAGCTTTACCGCACACGTGCGACACGTACTACAAGGTAATAAATGAATGAATAGGCTCCCTCGCCTCTAATCGGTGTTGTCATATTGTAAAGAACTTATCCTTTTTAAACAGTATCCGACTTATAATTTAGTAGTATAAGGACTATTTAATACATCTCTGGAATATTAAAACCTACTTTATTAAACTGTAGTATTAATATCTCAATATATGTGTATAACAAGAAAAAAAATATTGATAATATTAAAGACGTGACAACATAGGCTGGATGAGGAAGGCTCGGTCGACTGTACCCAGAAGTAAACATGTGTACAAAAAAGGTTGTTTGTCCGCGTTGAGATGTAAATAGTGTAGTCTATATTTTATTTTAAGTCTATGGGCTAGACATAACGAAGAAGATCCAAAAAAGGCCGCCAAAAAAGAGGAGGAAAGCAGTCGCGATGGAAATAAATTCGGGGAATCACCGACCGAAATATAATCGATTATAATGAAGTGCTGAATAAAATTAATATATTGTCCAATCACTTGCAAAAAGTTAATATCAACTTATGTACAGCTGCTAATATGATTAATGCGGTAACTATAGATCTCAAATCATTAAGAAGTGAAAAATATTTTGATAATTTTAAAAAAGAGGCTACTATTTTGGCAAATAAATGCAATACGTCAACATCATTTTCCACAAAAAGACAAAGAATAAAAAAAATTCATGATGAAATCCAGAATGATTACCTACATCAAAATTCTGAAGATAATTTCAAGATATCAGTGTTTTATGGTACTTTAGACATTTTAACTGGTACTCTAGAGAATCGTTTTGAAGACTTCCTTAATATATGCCAAAAATTTAATTGTTTATTGAATATGGACCAATATGGATGGATATGGACGTCAATGATGACAATTTAAAATGTCTTATGGATTGTTATGGATTATTCTTTAGTTGATGAATATAAACATGTTTGCAGTTTATTAGAAGAAATTAATGCAATGACAACAAATTTGCACCTGACGAATATTTATCATTTTTAATTTCCAATGACCTAGAGTCTTCATATCCATCTTTATGTGCATTAATGTGCATTACTTCTCAGTATTGAAGCAGACACAGCCCAGGATCTAAATATAGACGAAATAATTGATTTCTTTAAATCGGTTAAATAAGACGCTTGCATCTTTGAAATAACTGTTTTGTATACTAATTTTTTTAATAAACAAATTTATAATTAAAAAAAAATAAAAGTTTCCATGTAGTCTTATTATTTAAAAAAAAATTATAATTTATTTGATTGTAAATTTGTACTTTATTGATCATTGCGCCCCTTAAGGTCTTCGCCCCCTCCGCCCTTTTATCCACGACACGCTACTGCGGTGATGATCCCCCCTCCTCCCACATTATTATATTAAACAGGGTGCCACAAATTCGAGGTACGAGCATTGGTATCTCGGAAACCGCAGTAGATACGAAGATGGTTAAATTGGGGCAAAGTTGCGTCTTTGGTATTTACCAAGACGCTATCAAAAAAGTTTTAAAAATTTCAAGGATTGCTGAATTTTTTGGAAAAACGGATTTTTTTGGAAATCAATTTTATTTTTTCCTGTCGTTACTTTTTAGAAAATCAAAAAATTAATTACACATTCTCATAGCCATTTTATTAGGGCTATCTGATAGTATTTTTAAATTTCCAAATTAGCTGATAATTTGTGAAATACAGAGAGGCCAGCTTAATTTTTTTAAATATGGACCTGCATTTTTAATTTCAGATTTTGAAAAAACTCGATCTCCTGAGTACAATGATTTGTCACACTCTATACTTTTTGTTTGTTTTGGGTTCCTTAATGACAAATATAAAAAAAAATATGTATAATCTAATATGAAATAATATTAATCGTGGTTATTATAAATAAATCAACTTCTAACAAACTACTTTCTAATGCTCTACATGTTTGAAAGGGTTACCACCCTTCCTATTGCACAGATTTATTATTTGTTCAGCTTTATTTATAGCTCTTTGAACATATCTTCTTGATATACATACTTCCGAATGCATTTTGTACTTTATACTATA